AGATATAAATACCTAAGACCAATGTAGCAGTAAAAGGTTTGAACTAATAATCTAACGGTGCATTAGGAAACAATGGAAAACTTTCTCTGAAGCATGGGATGATTTTATCTGTAAACTAAAAAAATCTGTACGTAACTTTCAGATCTGTCTCCTGAGAACAGAAATGACCTTCTCGCCAAAAAAAAAAAAAAAAAAAAAAAAAAAAAAAAAAAAGGAATATCTGTATAAATCTTAAACTGAGTATGTGAAACTCATTAAGCTATGGGAATTCAAGAAGAAAAGCAGAATACTACAGGATCATTCAACAGCTTAGGCAAAATGCAATAAAAAAAATAAGCTTTTCTATTTTAGAAAAGTTAAAGATACAACTCACTACCAGGACAGAAAGAAGGCCCAAATCTTGCTCTGCCAATCAGTAGACAATACAAACTTGAAAAATTCACTTAACCATTCTGAATCTCAGTTAAATGGTCTATAACATGGGTGAATAAAGCTACCCTATGTTCTTTCTTCTGAGGCGTTGTTGTGAGGCAAAACACATGAAAACACTTTCCTAAATCTTAAAAGTCCCCATGAATGGAAACAGAACTTGTTTTACTTATTTTTGAGAGAGAGTGCAAGCAGGGCAGGGGAGCTTGAGAGAGAGAGAGCAAGATGCAGAATCTGAAGCAGGCTGCAGGCTCTGAGTCGTCAGCACAGAGCCCGACATGGAAGGGCTGAACCCACAGAATCATGAGATCACAACCTGAGCCAAGTCAGATATTGCCGACTGAGCCACCCAAGAGCCCCAAAACAGTACTCTCATTACTGCTAGAATGAATCAGAAGGATAACAGATAACGACGAGCTTGCCTGGTATAAGGCATTGTGCTAAATGATATGGTGGTGAGAGCCTGGGTGGCATGATGTTCGCGTATCGACTTCTAGCCAGGTCGCGATCTGTGGTCTGTGAGTTGAGGCGGTCAAACTCTGGGCTGATGGCTCAGAACTACTTTCGACCTGTGACTCCCTCTCTGCCCCTCCCCCCTTCATCTCGTACTCTCTGTTTTTTTTTGGCGCAGAGAAGGGTCATTTCTGTTCTCAGGAGACAGATCTGAGTTATGTAGAAGTAGATTTTTTTTAAGCGCACAGATAAAATCATCCCATGCGTTCTTTTTCTCAGAGAAAGTCTTCCATTGTTTCCCTACTGCACCGTTAGATTATTAGTCTGTAAACCTTTTGCTTCGGCTACATTGGCCTTGTGTATTTATATCTACATGCTCAGCATTATCTTTGCTGAGAACTTTCTGTTTACTATAGAAGGAGATTTTGTCTTTTAAAACCCTGTAAGTGGTGGTTATATAGAGGTATACATAAGGAAAATTCATTTAGCTGCATAATTCTTGATTGGTTTGCTTTATTTAAAATACAGTTGGGGGCACCCAGGTGGCTCAGTCGGTTAAGCGCCTGACTTCAGCTCAGGTTATGATCTCATGGTCTGTGAGTTCAAGCTCCACATTTGAGTTGTGCTGACAGCTCAGAGCCTGGAGCCTGCCTCAGATTCTGTGTCTCCCTCTCTCTCTGCCCCTCCCCTGTTTGCACTCTGTCTCTCTCTCTCTCAAAAATAAACAAACATTAAAAAAATTAAAAAAAAATAAAACAGTTATATTTCAATTAAAAAAATAAAGCCCAAGTCCTACCTCTTCAGAGACTCCCCCAACTTCTCCTGCCCACTTCCTTTCTCATTTATATGTAGCTTTAGAAAATGGTAACCAATATTGTCTAATGGCATCATGATTCTGGAGTAAAAACTGCTGGGGTCTGAATCTCAGCATTGCTACTTAACTTCTCTATACTTCAGTTTGCTCATCTGTAAAATGGGTATAATTATAGTACCTACTTCATAAGGTTGTAAGGATTAATGAAGTGATACATGTAAAGCATTTAGGACAGTGCCTGGTATATAATGAACTTTCAGATGTTAGCTGCTATTACTGACTTCTGGATTGAGTCTGCTTCTTAGTTGCTTTCATATACTACCTTAGCTGGTGCCTTATTGCAAGAGTACCTATTGTGGGTGATGATATTTGCATGACTAATATTAGGCACAGTATCCTGCTGGGCATCTTTAATGCCCTACACTTTGATTTTCTGTAGGGTTTCATAAGTAGTCCGAATGTATGTATTTTACAAATGAATGTGTGCCAGAGGTTCAAGGAAAATGGCATACACAGTACCCTATTATTTATTGTATTACTTTCTATTAGTTTTAATATTAGTTTATTGTATTAGTACTTAGTTTATTTTTTTTTTATTTTTATTTTTTTTTTTTTTTAAGAAGTGACTTGGTTTTATAGAAAGAACCATGTACTGGGTGGAAGTCAAGAGAACTGGATTTTAGTCTCAATTTTGCCACTGATTAGTATTACATCATTGGGCAGCTCAGCCTCTGTGCCTTATCTGAGGAAATGACAGAATGATGATATCTACTATCCTCTTCCGGGCAAATATTTCTATTTTCATATGTATGTGGGAAGATAGTTACTCAGTGTAATGATCCTGTGAAGTAATGGTAAATGATTTCCTTGCTATTGCTTTATATTAAAAATTAATTATTGCTTCCTCTGTTTTCAGCTTCGGGCTCAGAATCAGGTCCTGAAAAAAGGTGTTGTGGATGAACAAGCGAATTCTGCTGCTTTAAAGGTAAGAAGCCTGTTTCATATTTGTACTGTGAGGGTAAGTCATTGTTGGGCGATAGTCAATGCAAGGAATTCAGCTGGTTTTCTGGTAAGGTCTCAACAATGACACTGATTCACTAGGGATAGGAGAAGGTAATATAGTTTTTTGTATTTAACTTTCCTACTTGCTTAGGTAATGAACGTGATGCACTTTGATTTCCTTGCTAAAAAGTATAAAAAAGTATCATTTGACTTTATCTCATGCTTTCCCTTATACCTCATGGTCTCTCTTTAGCTAAATTTATCGGAGTTAATGGGGCTTCTTATATGTCTTCATCACTAGATAGCACTCTGAGGGGGTCTGTGTCCTATTCACATTTATATGCCCAGCATTCAGCAGATGGTTGTCCCCTAATAAATGGATTTGAAAGTGTGAACCATTTAGTCCATTGATCTTGCTTTTGGGTTGAGGTATTTCATAGTAATAACCTCTGTAAATCAGGTTACTCTGAGTGATACATTTTATCATCAGCATCTTTGTTCACTGAGGGGAGAAATATAATAGATGAAGGAATTTGTTTCTGCCTCATTCTAGTAGGCATGTCATAAATATTGCTTAGTGATATATATTTTTAAATTTTTTAATGTTTATTTATTTTTGAGAGAGATAGGGAGACAGAGTGTGAGCAGGAGAGGGGCAGAGAGAGAGGGAGACACAGAATCTGAAGCAGGCTCCAGGCTCTGAGCTGTCAGCACAGAGCCTGATATGGGCTTGAACTCACAGATTGCAGGATCATGACCTGACCCAAAGTTGGATGCTCAACCAACTGAGCCACCCTGGGGCCCCTGATTAGTGATATTTTTAATTGAATAAATCAATTCTAGAATATAGATTTCTTCATGGCCTGTTTCAGCTAAATATACTGTCTATGTCATTCTTCACTCCCTTGCCTGATTTTTAGACAAAAGGTAATTAGGATTCCCTTTACTCTTATTTCTTCCTGGAGTAGCCTCCAACCAGTGACGTATCCTGGGTGGTTCCACGTGGGTAACCCAGAAATATGTACTTTTACTTATAGTGTTAGAACCTACCCTAGAGAATTCTGCCTTGAGAGTGCCCCGTCCTCAGGTGCTGTTGACAGTGCTGAGGCAGCTCAGAACACCGTACCCATACTTCCGAAGCTGTCTGCACCCAAGCCAAGATTAGTAAGCATGAGCTTTATAGTTAGTCAAGTTATTATTTTGCCTAAATCATTGAAGAAGTGATCATTACCTCTCTTAAAGGTGTTTATTTATTTATTTATTTTAGGTTTTTAAATTTATTTTGAGAGAGAGAGAACGCAGCAAAGAGAGAGGGAGAAGGAGAGAGAATTCCAAGCAGGATGTGCCCATCAGTAAGGAGCCTGATGTGGGGCTCAGACTCATGAACCACGAGATCATGACCTGAGCCGAAGTAAGACGCTTAAATGACTGAGCCACCCAGGCTGCCTCTCTCTTAATGATGTTTAAAACTGGGGAAGATATTTCCTGGAGTGTCTTAATAGCCCACTGTGGCATATGACAGCATCCCATTGCTGGTTGTTTGGTTAACTCTACAATGGTGGCAGTGGTGGTGACATTGGTGATGGTGACTATTGAATTCTCACTGTGTAACAGGCATCGTGCCAAGCACATTACATCTGCTCTGTCATTTAGTCTTCACACAACTCTGTGAAGGCAGATAACATTATCATCATCTCCCATTGCAGAAACTAGGGTGTACAGAGAGGTTGAAATAGCTGTCTTTTGAAATTGATGATTGGTTAATGGAGTTGAAGCATTAGTCAGAGGTGATTAATTGTAAGGATGTAAAGAAATAACTGTTTTACTATTCATTGTACTGGTCATTATAGTTATAGTAAGAATGGCAATTTGCTGGTTTGCTCAATGGGAATATTAGGATGTCTTCTGTTACAGCATGCTTTTGATAATATTGGGTTTGCCTCTTCAGTGAGTTGTTAGATACTGTCAGCATTCCTTGATTTGGATTTCTTTAATTTGAAATATATGATAATTTGGATATGGGCAGGTCTATGTTTACCATTAAACTGCAAGCAAAAATTAAGGGCTTACTGAGTAAGGGGCGCTTGGCTGGATCAGTTAGTAGAGCATACATACAGTCAGGAGTTCCATATCATGATCATAGGGTCATGAGTTTGAGCCCCACATGGAGCATAGTTTACCTAAAAAAATAATTAAGGGCTTACTAACAATCAATAGAAAAGAAAAATTGTTTCTCTACTTAATGGAAACATTATTCTATTGCTCTGGCTGCTCTCAACATGCAAATAATGTCAGTAGGTTGCAGATACCAGACTTTGGTTTCTAGGTTGCTGTTGCAGTATACTTATATTAGTTTATCATTGAGCTTGACCTCATCTTAGCATTGCAGTGGTTTTTCAGTGAAAGTAATAAACCTACACATCTTGAAATATGCAGTAGTATTTGGTCATCTGTGTTCGATAACCAGTGAACACAAAGTTGTCAGAATGTCATAAGTAAAGTTAGTGAGAATAATATTTTTTTAAAAATAGAGTGAAGCTAAGTATTTCCCTAGCTTTCCATTTTCTTACCCCATTATAGTATAAACAGTTCAGAATGGGCAGCGAAATATATGTTGTTTAAAATATAGATTTTGGGGGCGCCTGGGTGGCGCAGTCGGTTAAGCGTCCGACTTCAGCCAGGTCACGATCTCGCGGTCCGTGAGTTCGAGCCCCGCGTCAGGCTCTGGGCTGATGGCTCAGAGCCTGGAGCCTGTTTCCGATTCTGTGGCTCCCTCTCTCTCTGCCCCTTCCCCGTTCATGCTCTGTCTCTCACTGTCCCAAAAATAAATAAACGTTGAAAAAAAAAAATTTAAAAAAAAAAAAAAAAAAAAAAAAAAAAAAAAAAAAAAAAAAAAAAAAAAAAAATAAAATATAGATTTTGTTTCTATTTTCACTTAAAACTTTAAAGTAATTGATGTACGGCAAACAGCATCTAAAAATATTCTCATGTTAGGATAATACTGATTTTTGACCTGAGAAATCACAGTGTGTTGGAAAGACTTCATTTTGGCTGACTTAAATTCAGGGCGGATTTATGGGGAAAAAAATGAATGCAAATAAATTGCTTCCCATTCTTACTGAAGGGCGTCATCAGTGAGTATGAAGTTCTCTCTCACATTTCAAGTTTATAAAATTGTAGCCTCAGGCTTTGTGCCTCCTCACGGCCAGACACATACGCAACAACATTACGGAACAACATACAGTTGTAGGTATTTTACTTTAAGTTGATGACTGTCTGTTACTTCAATATATATGCTTTATTTTTATTTTTATTTTTAAATTTACTTGGTTTGGCCAAAAAAAGTGATTTTGTCACCAAATAGCTGAAAACATGGAACTGGCATGATAAACATACAACGTGAATTCCCTACAGCAAGAGGTTTTAATATTTTAGTGAAACAAAAATAATTTCATTATCTCTAAACCTTAAGGTGAAATTGTAAGGAATGGTCTGTTTTCACTTGGATGTAGGAACAACTGAAAATGAAGGATCAGTCATTGAGAAAACTGCAGCAAGAAATGGACAGTTTGACATTTCGAAATCTGCAGCTTGCCAAGAGGGTAGAACTACTTCAAGATGAATTGGCTGTAAGTGAACCCCGAGGCAAGAAAAACAAGGTAGGTCAAATACAAGCAAGTTAGTGAGACCTTGTCTGCGAGGTACAGACATCTACAGGCCATCTGGGTTTTAACAGAACACCTCATCTCCACATTCCCTAATTTTCCATTATTATGGCTGGATGTCGGGTCAAGGAAGCAGACATTTGCTGTTTATATATATATTTATGTATATACTGGTCAAATTTACTGCTTTCAGTTACACTAAGTCGCTATTAACTCAAGGTAGGGCAAATCAAATGTGAGACTGTGTTAAAGTGTAACAGCTCATGTGAAAGTAGCAGTCGAAATACTCATTCCTTATGCTTGTAAGTTTGCTGCAGATATTTCTTAATATTTATTCTTAGGAGGCCAATTTAGGATTCTTGTGTGGTCATGTAAAAGTAAACTTTTTCCATTATGGTTTGTATAGTGAGACAAGATTCTCATTGCCATGAGATGGGTGATCTGGTACTTTGGAGCACTCTGTGACTAAGAAGTTGCATTTTTTTTTGAAGAGTTGGGGCTAGTGATTGAATCTTTAAGTCTTGTGTGTATGTAGAGCGGCACCTGGCAAACGTATGGCTTGAGGCAGTAAGAGTAGAAGGATGGGAGGGAAGAAGAAGGCACATAGCAACTCTGAAGCAGTGTGGTGTGGAGGGAAGGGCACAGGCTTTGGAGTTAAGCCCATGCTTGAATTCTTCATCTGTCATTTTAGTCTTGCAACCTCAGTTTTCTTATCAGCAAAATGGGGATGGTACTCTCAGGTTTGTTGAGTAGTAAATGGGATTCTGTAAAGGTGGCTAGAACTGATTTTGCCATATGATAGGCAATCAACAGAATTATACGTTAGTACCTTTCCATACACATTTCCTCTACATGAAAGAATTCTCTAGAGTGGTAATTTTCAAATAAATGGAGAACAGAGAGAGTGTAAGCAGGTATCTATTAGAATCACTTGGGGGGCGCCTGGGTGGCGCAGTCGGTTAAGCGTCCGACTTCAGCCAGGTCACGATCTCACGGTCCGTGAGTTCGAGCCCCGCGTCGGGCTCTGGGCTGATGGCTCAGAACCTGGAGCCTGTTTCCGATTCTGTGTCTCCCTCTCTCTCTGCCCCTCCCCCGTTCATGCTCTGTCTCTCTCTGTCCCAAAAATAAATAAACGTTGAAAAAAAAAAAGAATCACTTGGGAAATTTTGTCAAAATACGCATGCTCTGGAGATTCCTTGGGGAAGGAACAACCATATGTTGGTTGTTCAAACAGCCTCCCCAGGTTGGCAAGATCCCCTCCCAGGGATGTTTTCGCAGAGGTTTGGGTGTAACAATTCTGAATTAATGTTAATTAAAGCTTTCCAACTTGGGAAGCATTGTGACCCAGAATATGTCATTCGTCAGTCTTGCTTTGTGCATCTCTCGTGTCCCAACATAATGGATATTTAATGTTTTATTTTTAATAAAGCTACTGCATTTTCAAAGGGCTTTCCAGTCATTGGCTCACATTGGATCAGTAAGTAACTTCATTTTAAGTGAGGAGTGAGGGCATAAGAAAGGCAGAGAAGGGTGGTGACTGATGTCTGAACACAGTTCTATTGTTAGGCTATCCCTGGAATAGTCTGAGCTCTTGTATTCCATGAAAACAAATGTTCATTATTGGCTTTCTTAAATAGTGCTATTCTTCTATGTAGAAAAAGTTAATATTAGTAAAAAAGGGAAAGGAAGGTGTTTTTGAGCTTTTTCCCTCCGTTTATTTATAATAGCTTTATTTTATATGGTTGTATATTTTTTAAAAAATTAGATATTTATGTGAAGTTTTGTATGAATTTGTCCTTGTGAATGCTGATTTATTACAATTTCTTAAAGGAGTTTAACAACTCAGACTCATGCAATTATTAAAACTGTCATTTCCCAAACCAAAAGATCAACTCGAAATGGTTTTGTAGCATGTTTTTATTGCTAGCTTTCTGGGCCTGCTATGTCTCCCAGTAGAACCACTCCCGGACTGATCTGCAAAGAATAGTGAACCTTATCTGTTCTTTATTCCCTTTATCTCCTTTTTAAGCTCTTCAGCTTGTTTCAATATTTGCAGTTCCTACTTGTGTCAAATAGGAAAAGTTAAGTGATGGATTGTATACCTTTTGCAGGATTGTTTGAGAATGGTGCACACATAGAAGAGACAAGCTACTAAGGTGATAGAGAATCTGTGTACCTTAGGATGTTTCTCTAAAGGATGAAAGTTATGTGGACATAATTTATTCTTTCCATCAGAAAAGTGGAGAATCTTCTTCTCAGTTGAGTCAAGAGCAGAAGAGTGTCTTTGATGAAGATCTACAAAAGAAGATAGAAGAGAATGAACGGTTACATATACAAGTGAGAAAATCTTTCTGTTTTTCCAATGACTTAAAGATGGGTCGTATGATGGGGCGCCTGGTTGGCTCAGTCGGTTGAGCGTCTGACTTTGGCTCAGGTCATGATCTCACGGCCTGTGGGTTTGAGCCCCGCGTCTGGTTCTGCGCTGACAGCTCGGAGCCTGGGGCCTGCTTCGGATTCTGTGTCTCCCTCTCTCTTTGCCCCTCCCTTACTCACACCCTGTCTCTCTCTCTCTCTCTCTCTCTCAAAATAAACATAATTAAAAAAAAAGATGGCTCATATGATCTGGAATGTGGAAAAACCAATGCAGGACAGCACAGAGTGTTTTGTGTATGTATTTTAATGTCTCCTGTGGTTGTTAGGTATATATGTCACTGTCATTCATTCGCTTCTTAAATCTCTTTCATATCTTAATCTGATGTGTGCTTTGAAGTACGCATTTATTTAAAGGACAGCAGAATAACTTTATAACTTGACAGTACAGTACTAAGCACTGTTCATTTTAGCTAGAAAATGATGAGATGGATCACTTACATGAGGGCTTATCAAAAAGAAGTGTTTGTTTTAAGTTATTACCATTTAGTTGGTTTGTATCTGTTCACCTGTTGGTCTGTAAGGTCTGTTACGGTACACACCATGTCATTTTTTATGCCTTTCCCCAGGACAGGGTCTCTCTCTGTCATGGCAGGCACTCATATATTTATGGAATGTTGAATAATCAGTGTTTGCCTCCCAACATTCAGCATATTTTAAGAGTCATACTGTAATATATCCAGCTGTGCCTCCTGAATTTTTTGTGAAATGGTGAGCATAGTGAAATGGTGGAAAATAAATATGCGTTTATTGCAGTCTTTTTGCGAATGTTAACAAAATGAGCTTTTGATCTTATTAAGGAAAGGAGTTTTACCTGTTTTAGGAATAGCAGCTATTTGAATTTGGATTTTTTAATTGTGGAAGTTAGCGTAGCAGAAAAGTTATACCCTGGTCAGTTGAATTCTCTCTGTGTGCCAGAAGTTGTTTGAAAGAAATCCATGAGATTGAGAGGGAGGAGGTATAGGCTTTGGCATGGATCTCCTGTGTTCACATCTCGTTTCTACATTTGACAAGTTATGTAGACCCTTGAAGCTTTGGTTTTCACAAGTGTAAAGGAGAGATAACAGCACTACCTCTGACCTACTGTGAGGATCTTGTGAGATCCTGCCTGTGTGGGTTTTGCATAGTGAGCATATGCAACGGGTGGAAATTGCTCCATGAATAGTCACTGCTGTTATTTTCCTCTTCATTTGTACATATTAGGATATCGTGAAAAGATAAAAATGATCTTTTTTGTTCAGTTTTTTGAAGCTGATGAGCAGCACAAGCATGTGGAAGCAGAGCTGAGGAGTCGACTGGCCACCCTGGAGATGGAGGCGGCCCAGCACCAAGCCGTGGTTGATGGCCTGACGCGGAAGTACATGGAAACGATCGAGAAACTGCAGAATGACAAGGCCAAACTAGAAGTAAGCCCCACTGTTGGTGAGAGCACTTTAAGAGATAGTCAAGACTCTTGTAAATCTGTGCACTTGATGGAACACAGAGTTAGTCATTCAAGGGGAGGCGCTTGTCTGCAGTGTCCCCTAAGTGTGCTCTCATCTATAGCCTGAGCCATCTGCTTTTCTTTTTCTTCTAAAATTCAGGTAAAATCTCAGACTCTAGAAAAGGAGGCCAAGGAATGTCGGCTTCGAACAGAAGAATGGTATGTGGAAACGTGAATTCCAAGGGGCCCTGAAGTAAGAATCAGAAGACCTGAGTTTTGGTTTAGCAACTCTTCTCTCTCAATTTTCTCACATTTGAAGTGAGCTGGGAATAGGCCATCTCCGGGGTCCTCCTCAGTTCTGTTCTCTCCGGGGCCTTATGCACTCTCGGTGGAGTGGCTTGTGCGTTAGTCCTCAGCCTGTGCAGATGTTTGCTGCCGTGGCCGATCGCGTTCTGGGGCTCCTGTACTGAGGACTGGGTGCTTTCTGTTTCAGACTGCGCTGAAGAGAGAGCCTTCTGATAACCCCAGGGAGGAAAACTGACTCCTTATCACTATGCCAACCTTTTAATGGTACATTTTGAATAAAAGAGAGGTTATATGATCTAATTTGGAGATACCTAAATCTTAAAATTTGATGAAGTCATGGGTGGTAAAAGCATACTCCAGTATTTATTTGATGAATGACATAATATTTTAGGTTTTTACAGAATCAGTCAACGTGTATTTCTTCAATTTAGTTGCATTGGTGGAATTATATGCATGGTTTAGATGTATACCTATACTCATAATTGAATCAAAACCAGAGAAATTACCAGATTTTGAGCCCAAGGGGAAGACAAATCTGATAGAATACTTAAAAAAGAACTTTACTGTAATACTTGAACAAACATTTATGTGCCATAAAGAGAAAATTTGTGATTTTGAAATGGCTCTAAGATTACTTTGCACTTGGGGAAATAAACTGATAAGATTGTATTAGATACTGGGACTGTGATAAATTCTGACAGTCTTCAACGTCATTCAACAGAAGTCTCAAGGGCTTCAGAATTGAGGCTTAGTATTTTTCTTATCTTCATCTTTTAATAACTGTCTACCACCAAGCATTTCCCAGTGTCAGGCACAATTCTCTGAAAGCCTGATACCAGCTGTTGTGGTAACAAGGAAGTGAGGATCCACTGTCTGACTGGCAGTAATGTGGTTTTGTATTTTTTTTTTCTTTCAGTCAATTACAGTTAAAGAACCTTCATGAAGATTTGTCAGGTAGATTAGAGGAGTCCTTATCAATCATCAGTGAAAAAGTACCTTTTAATGATACAAGTAGGTATTAATGTACAGTTTTTCTTTATGTGCAACTTTGAACCTGTCTTTGGTAATGAATGAATTAAAATCATTTTTAATCTATGTGGCAAAAAACTTCATTGGCTCAACACAAGATTGCTTTCTTTTTGTTTTTTTTGATCAGCTTTGGCCCTCATGTTTCATAGGGAGACTGACTCCAAAGTTGGCCTTCTTGGAAAAACCTCAAATCCACATTTTTTAATTGCACATATTTAGCATATCCCAAGGTAAAAACCATCCTGCACATAAAATACCTGAAAATTTGTATAAGAAAAGTTGCTCGTGGTGGGGGGAGTGGGGGAAGGGCAGTGGGCGATGGATCTTCTCAGCCTCGTATCTCCTGCTCAGTGATGCAGAGCTGAGTTGAGTAAGTCCTGCTTCCTCTTCATCCTGAGAATGGTCTGGTAATTTACATAGCCATATCAAGAAAAATAACTTTTTTAAAAAAAGAAAACTTACATGTATAATAGGTACCAATTTTGTAACATTTAGATAATTAAATCAGAACCTTGAAAACGAAGAATATATTTTATTTAATTGCTTGGAATTTTGAAGCCCATATTCAATTAAGTACAGATTTCCCTTCTTACAATTACATGATTGAAATTTTTTACTTCCCCTAAATTTTTCTTCTGGAAGAACTAAGAAAAGAGGAAACAAAAGACACCAAAAAACCCCAGCAGTTTGATCTAACACTAAAATCAGCGTATGTCATTATTATATCAGAAACCTAAGGTCCTCTGAAAACAACACCTGTTTCTAGTTTCTACATTAATGTGAATAGTGCTAGCATACTTTGATCCCCTAGACTTGAAATCTTGGTATTTCATTTTCCCTTTAATCCTTGTATCAATTTGTCATCAGGTTCTAATAATTTCCTTCTGGATCTCTTTTTTAAAATTTTTCCCTTTCCAATACTAGTTGTCACCCTACCTACTTTAGATCCTTACCATGTCACTGTGGGTTACTTCTTTGAGTTCTGAAATATTTAGAGATCATTTGCTGAGTGCCTAGGTGGGTAGGGAGCACAAGGGATACAAAAATCTCTAAGAAATCTGAGGGTACCCTGAAGGAACTTGTAGTTCAGAAGGGGAGAGATAATGTATAGAAATGTCTAGAAGTGTCTAGAAATGTATAGAAAAGACTCTTGGGGTTTCCGAGGAAGGACAGATTACTGCTAAAGGGTTGTTTGGGGAAGTCTTTTGGAGGAAGTGTGCTTTGAACTGGGCCTGAGTAGGTTTTTTTGGGCTGAAATGCAGGAGAACCATCCAGGGGATTGAGTGGAGTGTAGTATGTGGGACAAAAGGTGCCGTCGCAGTCTGATGAGCAGTAATTAGTTAAGTGTGACTGGGAGGTGGGGGCAGTGATGGGTGAGTTCTGTAAGGCTGAGAGGGGCTGGACCCAAGGAGTTGGGACGTAATTCATGAGACAGTGGGGGTGTTTAAGCTTTTGAATGTCATGGTCTCACAGAGCTGGTCTGGCAAGGGTGTAGACTGCCCTGGAATGGGCAAGGGGCCAAGACTACTGTGATGCTAGTCTTGGTGTCCTGTTATGGAGGCTGGGGCCTGAGTTGTCAGGGCGATAGATGCAGGCAGGCAGGGGAGTGTGAAGAAGCAGTGTGGGGGAAAGATGTGGCACTGTTGACAGAAATCAAAGAGGCAGGTGAGAGGCAGGTTTATGGAGGAGGGGGGTGGCGAACTTAACTTTGTTGTTTAATATTCTGGCGGATCAGCGTATGTCTAGCTGTCTATTGGTGTATGCATTTCTAATAAAAGCCCAGACCTTGGAGAGAGACTGAAGTTGACCCTGGGGGGATGAATGGGCTTTGAGAATGTTGGGAATGAGGGGTATAAAGTGCAGAGAGGCCCGTGTAGTACCCTTGAAGAGCTGTGATCAGGAAGGAGAGAGGCTGGAGTGGAGATGATGGCGAACTGGGGAAGTGGGGTGCCATGGGAGGTGGGGAAGGGAGTGTACAGCCTGGTGGTGCTGGGCAGCAGTTCTAAGTTGTAGCATTGCTGCAGGGAGCTCAGAGAGGGTGATGGACAGTAAAGGCAGCTGCTTTGGTGACTTGGAGAAGAATGTTTTTACACAGGATAGAGGTGGATACCAGACGGCCGGCAGAGGGTTAGAGGTGAATGGGTGCTGAGGAAATAGGCAGACATGAGGAAGACATGCTGTTCTTTGAGCAGGGGGAATGAAGGAGATGGAAAATGTTGGGAGTAAAAGAAGGCGTTGTATGCAGGGGATGGGTAAGGGCAGAGGACTCAGTATGATAGAGGTAAAGGGGAACAAGTTACTATGGGGATAGAGTTTAAAAAGCTGCAACAAATGCTTTTTTTGAAGGTAATTTTGAAGAAGTAGAGAGGAGAGGGGGTGGTTGATGGACTAGGCCGTGAGGAGTCAGAAGGAGCTATTGCTGGGGACCCAGGGGGAGGGTTGGCTGAGGACAGGATATGTGATGCCATGGACTCTGTGGTGGAGGGTAGGGAACATAGGAACCCTTTGGTATTCGGCCCTGGTCTTCCTGGTGTTGTAGGGGGAGGCTACCCCATCCATGGGGCAGAGGATGAGACAGAGAATGGTGTTTGAGGCTTAAAATGGAAAAGGTTTGGAACAGATGCTTTGGGAAGGGACACAGCAATGAAGTCATGGATTGCAGAGTATCACTGAGGCCCCCTTAAGTTTGGTAAATTAGGTTGTCATGGACCCTGATCTCCTTTCATGTTAGCAAGAGCAGTGTTGGAAATGATGGGCCAGGCTGGGAGGGAAAACAGGCAAGGCCCCCAAGAGAACTGATAGGGAAATAGTCCAGTTGTGGATGGGAGACCAAGCCCTTGGTGGAAATGGGGCTGTAAGAGAGAACTGGATGAGAGCGGCATAGGGACTTTCTGAGTTGGATTTGGGCACCAGATCTTTCTGATTAAGGACCAGGCAGAGGAGGGAGGGTTTGAGTGGCTGTAGAGATTCATAGAGATGGAGGCGGGGATTGAAGTGTGAAGCCAGGTGAAGCTAACAGAGGTTGATAACAGAGTCTGGGATAGAGACAACGACTGTGAGAAAGATGAGACCAACCCAGAAAAGTTAGCATTGAGTTGTTGGGATCAGCAGTAGCAGACCGTGGTAGACTGTCAAATATCGTACTGTCATGAAAACAGTGATATTTTTGGATGATTGGTGTGGCAGCTGTGTGCAGGGTTATTTTAGAAAGGAGCATGACTGAAGATAGCAAGAACATCATGGGCCTAAGTAATCTTGATAGGCCTCAAGTTTTGGAAATATTTCTTAGAAACAGAAACTCAGGGTTTATCTTACAGTTAAAAAAATTTGGGGGTGCTTGGCTGGATAGAGCATATGTCTTTTGATCTCAGGGTCATGAGTTCACACCCCACGTTAGGCATACTTAAAAAAAATCAAAAGTTTTACTTTATCTGAGAAACAACTGATTCCATATAAACTCCATTATTCTCTTACACTATGATCATTTACAATTCTTATGTAAAGCTGATTTTGCTGCAGAGCATTTATTTTTCAGTTATGCAGCTTCTCTGTAAATGTAAAATGAATTAACATGCATCCATTTTTGTTTTGTAGAATATAGTCAGTATAACGCTCTGAACGTTCCACTCCACAATAGGAGACATCAGGTAATGATGATGTTTTTATTTTCAGCGATGTGTATGTCAGACTTTTCAGAAACAAGAATTTATCGGTTTGGGCCTCTGTTTAGTGCACTAAACCATGTGTTTAACTTTTGTTTCACTTTGTCATACATTTTTAAAAAATTGCATAATCTGCTGTTCATTGAATTCATAAATAATACAGATTTTTGTTCTCTCTCATCTGATAACTTTAGAATGGAATTATGGGATGCAATAATTTTGTGAGTCCTACTTTTCTTGTAGGTTGGTGGACTTGTGCTTATATGGTCTAGGTTAAGTGGAAAAGGTCTATTTTCTAAAACTGGTGGCATTCTAATTAGGAGGGAATATTAAAATCCAAGTGGGAGCAAATAAATTTAAATTAAGGAATAATTATACTAGAATTTAAGTGTTTTCTCTAAAAGGGGACTTACTAAAGTTGTTTGAGAATAGTAATTGGAGAGTTGACTTTATATACTTTCCATTTAAAAGCTGAAGATGCGGGACATTGCTGGGCAGGCCCTGGCTTTTGTTCAAGATCTTGTGACGGCTCTACTGAACTTTCACACCTATACAGAACAGAGGATTCAGATTTTTCCTATTGATTCTGCCATTGACACTATATCTCCGTTGAATCAGAAGGTAAAGTTAATTCAGGATAGCTTTCTCTGCCCTGAACAAGTAGGAGGACACGTTATTTCTTTTCAGACCACTACTGTGCATCAGCCAACTACCATGGAGGACATGGAAGAAAACTGTAAGTCACAGTCTTTACCCTCAAGATAAAATATGGCAAACATGGAGATTCTTAAGAAATTAAATAGTAGGGGGAAGTGTGGGTGGTAAGATCAGTAAGTGAAGTGAGGTCATCAAGGAGGGAAGATTGCTGTTGGTGGTAGTGTCTGGGAAAGCTTCTTTGGCGATTTGAATGGGCTTTGAAAAATGAGCGGGAATTGAATAGGAGGAGAGAAATAGAATGGGTGTTTTTTTCCTCCAGAAGAGGATATAAGACATGAGCAAAGTCATGGAGTTAGAAGGCATAATGAAGTGTGTGTGTGGGGGTGGGGCGGGGGGAAGGGAGCAGTGAACAATCTGTTTTGGCAAGAGTGTCAAGTCTTTTAAGTGGAGGAATGGGAGGTCAGGTTGCACAGAAAAAAACATGGCTCCGGACTCTAGAAGGCCCCTGGGCAGGCCAAGGCCCAGACTTTTCACGTCGTATGTAGGATGGAGGACTTCAGTAGTTTTTTGACCGGGATGTGGCATAAGGAAAAGTGCATTTTATTGTTGGAAAAGTTAATTTGCTGGCATTTTTCTCTTTCCTTGTTTATACTCTCTGTGTAACTTTCTTCATTGGATATGTTTAAATTAAAAAAAAAATTTTTTTTTTAATGTTTATTTATTTTTGA